ACTGCTAAAACTGTTGTACAGATTGACACTATAATAGACAAACTTCATGGAATTACAGTAGGTCTGTACATTAATGCCACCAGACTGCAAACGAAAAGTAACATAGTGGGAGTCGAACCTTCCGGGAATTTAACCGCGCTACAAATGATCGCTCCAATCGGTCCCACCCGGCATTAATGGTGCACCTGACTTCGATGGGTGAGAGGAGTATCGCCTGCTGTATTTAGTTACACGAAAAGTATTTCCTTTTGTAATTATTCTCGCAAATATCTACACAGCAAATAATTTTAAAATTACCTTGTCCATATTTCTAACACAAGTATGTACTGGCATGTCCAATCTAAAAGACAAAACTGCTTGTGTTACATTTACGAGCAGTGTTTTCCATTGCATTAAATAAATTTGGATAATTTGTAAAAATCCTTACATTGTGAAACAGAGTCCTTCTCGAGAAGCCAGCAGTCGCCCAGCTTGACAAGAACTTCCTGCTATTTATAGAAACCGAATTTTTATTATCGTGTTTATTTGAAGTCGCTACTGATTCCCATCATGAGCCAAATGAATTCAGTCTATAACCTCCGTACCTGTTTCTCTAATATAATTTTTAATGTTATTTTCCTATATATGCCCAAATCTTCCAAGCGGATTTTTCTCCGACTGAAAGTCTGTATGTATTTATCTCTTCCATTTATGTTTCATGATCTGTCCATATCATCCTCCTTGATTAGAACATCCTAATAATATTTTATGAATAATATGTACATAATACAAAATTTATCTGGCTCTATGATATACGATTTTCTCCAGCTCCGTCTCTTTTTGGGACTGTGTCCTGTTCCCAAAATTTCTCAAGTATTTCTGATATTTATTACTGTTGAATTATTTTCACCTATTATAGTTCCCCAGAATGAACGTTTCTATCAGTAAATATTTTATAGTTGCATCGACGGAAATTAAATATTGATACGTGCATTTATATTCTTACTTATGCACGTTTTCGAGTTTGAAGAATTATGTAAGTCATTACGTTAGTATTTAATTCATATGCTACCGTCATCTCATATCAAATTATCCTAATTGTTTGGCCTAGATAATCCTGGAGAATTATATTGTAATACATAATTAAAACAACATATATTTGTTGGATATAAAGTAACATGACTGCTGGGCAAAATATGCGTTAAATCTGTAAATTGATAGCCACAATTGATAAACCAGGAAAATCATGTGATTTCTGGTAAATACACATTTCAAAATCGAGCATGCTAATTTCGCATGAAGTATTTTTAGTGTTCATATTGACGACGATGAAGAATGCTGCAGTGATGTACAAATCTTCAAGTTAGCGGATATCCGGACTATTCTTAATAAATTACAAAATTCTATATGTAATAATTTATAGGGTTTTGTAACGTCTCTCTAAGTACATGAGATTCTACTCGAAATAAGGTTTCCTAAATTCTTCCCGTACTCATTGTTTATTACTGTATGTATAAAAAGCAGAATTTTCCAAACGAATGTGTTATTATTAGAAAATTCTCTCAACAAGTACAGTTCACTAACTGCATGAAGATAAGATCAGCACAAATTATGGACCGTTTACTGCCTAAGATGGAATTTCAGCTGCTCATTTGTTCAATTACAGTTCGGAAAGCCAAACAAAGAGTAACGACCTTGTGATACTGCAGGTTCTCACGGCGATGAATTTGTCGATGATCTTCTGGGTTGTAAAGTCGTATGAAGTTGTACGTACTGGTGTTCGGAAGGAAAAACCGTCTCCGTCTTCAGGGCTGAAGTTGGACGTAGTGTTTCTCTCCGAAACGTTGATATCCAGCTACGCGTCCAAACCACCAGCACCAATATGTGTATATCCGAGATGGCTGTCTTCTTGGTTGTTATGTCATGTAGTCTGGTGGAAGTTTACCGAAGATTCAGAGGTCAGTGCCTATGAAACGTCAGTAAACTTCCACCAGACGACACAGCGCAATAACCCATAAGACAACCAATTTCGGACTCACCGCCTTTAAAACCTAAAATCCTATAAATGTATTTCTACACCGCATGTTTCATTGTAATTTAAGTAACGCAAATCCTTACTCAAAACACAATACGCTTTATGGTAAAATAATCAACATTTCTAAAATGTTATCACCGGAGCTTAGAGTTTTCCTGCATATTTTATATATAATTCAAAGCCTACATGAGAAACTGCTTTATAATTTGATCAATCAGTAAAGCTAGCTTTCGGCAATCTTTGGCGAGCCCAAATTCTTTCACGCGCGGCGTCCCAGAGCCATGGATCGGGATTGCTGTCGCCCTGGGCAGTTGTCCCACAAGCCGCCTCGTTGGGCAGGTGCATTGATGTGTAGGGCCCTTCATGCCAAACGCAGACCGGCTTCGCAGCTACCAGCTACAAAATAACCTATCACCGAAGTGTAAATTATTCGAATTTTAGCACACTATATAAACTTGCCCGACAATCCATAGTTGAAAATAACGCTGAAGTTTGCAAGTTTCATCCCAGAACGTATATTGAAGCTACACACTAATGCAACTTATAGCTGATATTGCTTATAAGAAAGTAAGCTAAAGTACAAACATGTCTACGTCTATGGACTACACAACATTACGCTTTATTCCTTGTTTCTTACAGTTTATAAATGTTAATATCTAGGATTTGAAGTTTACTCGGCAGTGAGTTTAAAGATGGCTGTCTACTGGGTTGTCTAGTAGAAATTTACCAATGTTTTGGAAGTCCTTCGTGCCTCCATTTTCAGGGCGATTGTCCTGGTGATGGGGCAACAAATCCCTCTGAAACGTCGGTAAAATTCTACCAGACTACACGGAACAACCACTCAAAGACAGCCATCTTACATTTTAATATCACTGTACTCGAGTAAGACAATTTTCTTACACATGGGAAAGAAACGAAACTGATATTAGCACTGAGACATAGAAGCAGCCATCCAGTAATAAAAAATATACAAGTACCACATCTCATCAAGGGCAGAAGATATAATCATTCTTATTTCAGGAAACTAATCATCAGTTAAGTGGCAATTTCATAAACTATTTCAAGTAAATCACTACTGATAATACACACGGTCAGGATCCATCTGAAATGAGTTTACTAAATAGTATTTACTTTTCTTATCACTTAAGATCTGAAACAGAAATTATGAGTTTAAACCGCACCATTTTCCAATACACTTTTCGTTAATTAATTGGTACATTGAAGTTTAATTAATTAATTCCTGAGACAGTAAATTTGTAATTTGTAAAACAAAATATTATAAAATCAACCACGTGATCATTCTCGGTTGTTATTTTTATTCTATAATTAGTGAATTTTGAGCTTATGAAGACCGTTGAAACTCTCGTCCAAGAGTAACTAGTTTATCAATGTCTCTATATCACACACGTAAATTTTTTCTTACCATAGATTGTCAAATAAGCTTTATTATCCCTATAAGAAACTTGATATATTTCTGTAAGGGAACTTTAAATTTTGCATTACAAAACGAGTCTACGCGTGTATTTGTTGTGACACCTTCAATAGATTTACAAGGTACACAAGTAAAGAAGAGTGTCTACTTGAAACCACCGTTTAACCTTTATTATAAACAGCCCATTACAGTATTTGACCTCTACTAATAAAAAGAAGGTCGTAGTTTCAATTTTTTACAACACATTTTATTCAGGTAACAAGAAATAGCTTATCATCACTGACTTCTTTATTATATGTTGGGTTTGATCTCTCTATGGGACCTTTTCATTCAGTCAAACCACATGTAAGGAATGCCCTGTGTACAGTATAGGCGTACAAGATTGAGGACAGTGTACATTGACGATGTCGCAGGAAGAAGGGTTGCATTTCTGTACGGGACAATTCCAAAGATGAGTGTGAACAGGGGTCCTGAATGAGGATGACCCGTTCCCTGTGCTAGGTATTTATATCGCATCACGTTTCGGTTACTCTATTCGTATAACCCGCATTTATACAACAAAAAAGAAAGGCCTCGGCTGACCTTTAGGTAACCAGTTTCAGGGGCTGGAAGTTTTCCAGTAACTCTAAAGCATAGTGATACAGACATACATCAAATGCTTAGAGCATTTAGCAACTCTTAGTTTTTCCTGCAGAGTGTATTATTGAATTTTTGTATGATTTTACAAATAAATATTATTTCCATAAAAGCATTATCCAATACTCATCTTTGTAATACAGACAAGTTGTCTTTTTTCTACTTTAGGGACTGAATTTATAAGTGTTATTTATATTAATTGTGAGCTACAAGGTGTTTAACAGGTAACTTTTGTCACCAGAGAAAGATACAATACAGGAACACATGTATCTCTTTACGTAGAGTGCCCAATATTGTCCGATTTTGACAAAAATTAGAAAGTGTCTACAAATGTTGACATTTCTCGAAATAAAATTTCATGAAAATCCACTCAGCCGTAATTCAGCTGACGGACGGACGGGCAGACAAGAACATTCTAATAGGTGCTCCTCACTGATGTCAACACGTCTAAGATACTGAAAACTTGTCTGAAAATGGCTGTATTCTAAGTCTGGGTCTTCTGTCTTCGCCTTACTGCCTCCATCATCAGGGCGATAGTCATGATGATAGAGGCAGCAAGGATCTCTGAAACGTTGGTAAACGCCTACAACGCAGATTAAAACGCAGACTAGCGCAACAATATTAAACACATTTTTAAATACATGTTACATTTAGGTACCTTGTGTGTCATGATATTGTACCACTCACAAATTGTAATCAGATACATGTTTATAAAATTTCATATAATTTCGATAAAAGTAATGTTAAGAATGGGCCACTGCATGGTCATTAGGCAGGATAATGTCACTGAATATTATTGAATTAATCTGCCTTACGGACGTACGTAGTATTTGCTTTGTATTTAATTGGGAACAGAAACCTGGATGTGTAAACATTCTATCAGAATGAGGAATGACCATTCTTAATGGCTGTTGCCAGGTTGGGTCTAGTGATGTATAGAAAAACGTAGCAGCGTCATTTAAAACGGGACTGGAGACGTGAGATCGTGGCTGTGTAGGAAGACAGAACACTTCTGGAGCGCAATATCATCCGTCCAGCTGTCCGAACTGGCGCGATGGATGGCCACCATCCCGAACAGACGAGGGAGTGAATAACTGCACCTCTCCTTTTAAGAGTTCCCTGGTAATGGCACTGCACGATCGAAACATTTTTATTTTCTGAGTGTAATATTGTTTAAAACTCAAGTAAAATACATATTTATCATTCTAAACATTATAATTCTTAAGAACTCATTTGCATGACATTTTCTTTGAAGTTATTCATTTGCAATGTGACACAAATTTTTAAAACAATTTAGCTAGTATGGATAATTCCATTAATTTCGGTCCTGTGTCGATAAACATCTGAGTTTGGGGACAGCAGATAAATTATATGTGAATTAGTACATCACTAGAAGACATCAACAACATAATTATTTGTACCCGCTAGATTTTGAACATGAATTCAATGTTATTGCTCCTATATTTTCAAAATGATTGAGATTTTTAATTATGTCAATGCCAATTCATGTGTTGTGATGAAGGTACACATACTATGCAGGAATTTCATTCATTGAAAGACCACATTTGTGTTATTTCATACTGAAGAATGGTAATATTAAACTGCGAATGGTGAATATGGTCTTTATATATGCAGAAATTCTTGGCAATCCTTGTTCGCTAGTAATATTGGCGCCACAAAACTTTCTGCGGGATGTATGCTGGTGGACCCTGTATAGTACAAAGTAAGCCAAAGCCTCTACCTCTGTCTGCAGCTCTGTTCGGGTGGACGTCGGTGGATGTGTTCCTAGCCTACGCTTCCGTAATTAGAGTCAATATCGTGCCCCCCAACAAGAAATCTAAAAAAAAAAAACCTCTAAAAAGTGTTGGCTGATTTTTTTCTCTATAAGCCAAGGTAATAGTCTGGTGGCTGGATGGCAAAAGGCTTCGCCTGCATACAGATAGCTCCGCAGGGTTTCTGATTTTAAACGGAAATTGAATTGGTCAGATGAGAAAAATTTCCATCTCTGCGACGTACAGCAATGGTAAGCCCTGTAGTTTTTATTCCCTTTGAATATTCCTCAACCTACCAAACTCAAATTTTAGAACCATATATTTTAAAGAAAGGAGACAATTTAGAATGCATCTTTTTATTAATGGAATTGCTTCCATCCTCAATAGGTACACTGAATATAAATATAACACAACTAAAACTAATCAATCTAATTTTAAACCATGTTTTCACACAGCGGCAAATCAATATCACGGAATCAAAGCACATAAGACATTTTGCGAAAGCATCATTTCTTTAAGGATCGAAAGGAAATAGGATAAAAGGTAAAAATACCATAAATGGGACCAGTTACTTTGTTTATCTGTCGTACGCTAGCTATAGAATTAGGATAGATGTTTTGGCGATTTCAGATCACCATCTAAAGTCCTACATGCAAGAAGTTATTTTCATGCATTATTAATGTTTTGGTAACAGGGTTGGATTATAAAAATTAATCAATTTTTATGTTTTTAAATTACTACAAAACACAAAATTATTCATTTATGGAAATTACACAATTATGGAAGGAAAGTATTGCTTGTAACGTATTAAACGATACATTGCAAGATGTGTAAGACTTTTATGTGCTTTTTGGTGCTATAGGATTCTTTAATATTTCGAATCAAAGAAAGGACACAGAATTAATTTTTCGAATCAGTTACACGTGTGCAAGGAAACATGTTAATAAACATTATACAAGATGGAAATTTATCTGAGTCAGATTAGTGTAATAGATTACGTTAAACATGTTACTGCAACTAAACTACAACGTTATTTAACAATTAAGATATAGGTATATAATCACAACCCTCCGTAAAATGATTACTTCCGGAAACGTTAAGATTGAAGAAAACTGTTAAGTTTTATTTAATTTAGCATCTGGATAGACAGAAAAATTGAATTGGAGTACTTACATTAAACAATTCAGTTCGAATTATTTAAAAAAATTAGAGTCACCTCGGAAAGACAGTTGGCACATGATTAAAATAGCCGTTCTGTCTTCAAAGTCAATAACCGAATACATTAATTTTTTTAAAAAAAAATACCTTTGAAACGAGACGTCATTTAGTCAGCTACCTTTAAAATATTTGAGCAGATGTCTAATTTTGAGGTCAGCTCATAACTCTAAAATACTCTTAAACTTTGGTATTCGTCAACGGTGAAGGTCGCTTTTCCAAATTACATCCGTAGTATTGTAGCTTCGAAGTACCAAAGTAATCTGCATTAATAAAGTGAAATTTATGTCCTGTTTCTTCAAGAAACAGTTACTTCTTTAGGTAGGAGATTCGAAAGCAAATATTTGAGTGATTATTTATATTATAGCAATAAATTGGTATTTGTGGAGTGTTTATACAGTCATTGGCATTGGTAAAACTTGGGTTCTGTCTATCAGTCCACGAACGCCGACTTTTCAAAATCTTCACAAATTCTCCCGTCAGAAAATTTTAAAAAATTCAAAATACTACTAAGAACAAGGGGAGCGAAAGAAATGGAACTACAATTGTCTCTCGTTCTTTAATTATAAGAATATTCTTATTCAAAACGAAACTGACCACATACAAAACAACCAGCTCCACTACCTATCAAAAAGTTTTATTGGCGGGGATATTTATGGAAAACCATTACACAAACTTTCAACAGCAATTCAGAAATTAGTACCTACCTATATTTAAATAATTATGGGGAAATGGCTTAAAAGTTTAAATGAAAGTAAAGGAGTTCAAGGGGTCCTCAGTACCTCTGAAACCGTTCAGTGGGTGTAAGAACCTGGAAGAACCAATATAGTCAGCGCCAATATATCTGTTCATAATACATATTCAATTGTAATTATATAGTATTCTCTTCTTGGCATTTATTTCCAGGTTGAGAGACAAAACCTGTTACTGGACTACACATATATAGAGTAAGTAGAGTTATAGTTAATGTAACGTCATTACAAGTGTTTATTTGGTTAACTATTAGTATTTAAATTTACATATATTGCACATTCTTCCTTAAGAATTACATGTATTTATATAAATGTAACTTCGAAATACAAGGAACGTTTATAAAAGCCGGATGATACAGTACATAATTTATTATAGTATTTATTACGATATTACAAAAAGTGCCTTCACCTTTGTAATTGATGTTACATGGACAATTTTGTATTTTAAATAATATACTTCACGAAATCGTCTGAAATTCCCGCATTACCTTCTTAAATATACACAAAATATTAATTTTCTTTTAAAATATATTCGTGCATTTTCAGTGATAATCGGATGTGATTAATTTCCCTGAATAATTACATTCAATAAACGACGTATCGAGGGCCGATAGTATCCCAAATAAAAAGCATGGAACAGCGGAAAAGTGTTCATAAAAGAATGACGGACAATGAAGTTTAAGATATCAGAACCTGGTACGTTTAATGAAGCTCAGTCATTAATGGAAGGTCATGGAACGCAACTCTGCGTGTGCGAATGCAAGTAATTCCGCTTTAATTCGTAATATGACAAAACATGCAAGGATTTGTACATCTGGAACTCGTAAGTGGATATGTACGCATATACGTACGTGCGTGCACGAAAACACACATATATAAAGTTTGGTAAAGCAAGCTCTCCACTATCTTGAACTTTGCAAAGTATAGGTTATTTCAGCCGAAATAAAAGAAGATATATTTTTTATTTATTTAGTGTTCTGTCTGACGCCAGGTCCATATCCTTCCATCCTTTTCTCGGACTGGGACCTGTTCATATACGTTCTTGGCAGATGATCCAGAAGTGGTTTGCCATTGCCTTCTTCTGTGTGTGAATGGAGTAATTGTGGGGATGCCACGGAGGAAA